GATTTCAAATTCTTTTGCAGCTTCAGAAACCTCTTTTCTTTATTTTCTTTATTTCTTTTTCTGGGATTATGGTTGGATTTGGTGGACAGTGTAGGGGGAAGATGGATGGAAAAAGTAAGAAGTATAAAGGCACTAGTAAACAGTGTGATAGTTAGGTAGTAGGTGGCTTGGAGTCTGGTCTTACATAATGACACCATTTGGAAGCCCAGAAGTTGATGGTAAGGCAGAACATGGTTTGCATATGGTGGGATTAAATACATAGAGTACTATGTCACGATCTGATTCCTAACGACGCCATGAGTATAGAAGATACGCATGCTGGTTGGCTAAGAACATTCATTGACCGGGAATGGTTCCAGGGAAGGGGCGTGCATGACCACAGGATGGTACCTCTTCAGAGTTCAGGCAGGTCGACTCGGTTCAGTTCGAGGTGCTTGTCGCTAGTCTTGGACTTGACTGTGAAGAAGGGAGTTGGCCATCCCTGCACAAACTGGTCGGGAGCTGAAGCCGTTCCCCTGACGAGGCCATGGCAGACCGAAACCAGTCAACATGTATCCTTGGGAGGGCAGGTCGTGGTGGCTGATCAGGGCGCTTGCGCGAGCTGAAGCAACGCCTTGGTGCCGCACGGGCCGTGCCGCTGCGCCAAATCTCTAGGCCCGTGACAAATGGTATCAGAGCAGGACTTGGGGAAAAGCATAGTGGGGTGCCCCCTTGTCGATCCGGGGGTCTTGAGAATGAAGTGGGTGCACTAAAACGTCGGTGGGTAATCAATACTGTTGGAGGAGAGCCTCCATCTCCCCATGAAGACGCGTCCTTTAGGCCGAAGGGCCGCGCGCATCGGATGGCCGGAGGGCCGCGTGCACCAAAGTTCTTGCAAGTTCAAGAGGCGTGCAAACCGTTGTGAAGGGCGGGTATCAAGTCAGTCGGAGGGCGCTTGTTTGCTCGGGGTGTCGCGGAGGCGGCATAACGTGGGGTTGCGTCCCGAAGAAGTGGGCGTCCCTTTAGCCCGAAACCCTATCATTGGGCGAGTGCAACCAGGGGTTGTACAAGGAAGCGATGGTGGGCAGGCGAGCATACCACTTGGAGGAGAGAGACTTTGGAATGTTGGACGCAGCGGAGTCAGCGCCGCACTGCGACGAGGGCGTCGCAGGATTTGGGTGGGGGAGAATGTCACGATCCGATTCCTAACAACGCCATGAGCATAGAAGATACGCATGCTGGTTGGCTAAGAATATTCATTGACTGGGAATGGTTCCAGGGAAGGGGCGTGTAGGACCACAGGATGGTACCTCTTCAGAGTTCAGGCAGGTCGACTCGGTTCAGTTCGAGGTGCTTGTCGCTGGTTTTGAACTTGACTATGAAGAAGGGAGTTGGCCATCCCTGCACAAACTGGTCGGGAGCTGGAGCCGTTCCCTTGACAAGGCCATGGCAGGCCGAAACCAGTCAGCATGTATCCTTGGGAGGACAGGTCATGGTGGCTGACCAGGGCGCTTGCGCGAGCTGAAGCAACGCCTTGGTGCCGCACGGACCGTGCCGCTGCGCCAAATCTCTAGGCCCGTGACAACTAGCTAGCTAGAGCAATGTGTACATGTAATGCCAACAATCAACATATAATATGATAGCCATTTGTGAATTCATTGTTTTTACAGGCATGGGTGACTTACTAGGATAAACTGGGGCTGCAGTGCCATTGACACCCATACTAACATTCCAAGTGCAGAAGAGAAGATGGAGGGAAAAAGTAAGAAGCATAAAGGCAGTAGAATTAGTGTGATAGTTAGGTAGTAGGTGGGCTTGGAGTGTGATCTAACATACCGGTGTTGTGCATTTGTGGTTGAAATCACTCTTGCACGTGTAAATACCAACCGCATCGATTTCAATTTTTAGTTACATTACATGATGAGTTCTTGAAGATGTGACATGTTAGTTCCGTACTAAATTTCATATTCATTACTTTGGGACTAAAATTCAAACTTTTGTTCAGAATATAGCGCTTAAATGAGAGAAATCAAGCCTCTATAGTCTGTCTATACACTCCACAAAAACCAGCAATGTTGCCGCCACCACCCTCAAACTTATGATCTGATATTCCCCATGTCCCACTCCCTCTGCCATGCCTTTGCTTCACTCTCAGCCATGGTGCTGCCTTTCTATATAGCTTTCATCTTTTATTTGGTTCAGAGAAAGTTATAAATAAAACGGTTTTGGTTACAAGTAAAAACATGATTTATCTACTGGAGGGGAAGATTTTAAGCAATAATAGTATTTAACAAAAGTACATTGTCAGTTTTTTACAATTTTTAATTTTCTTATCTTCTTCACAAACAACTCCCACAATAACTTTTTTGCTTGGAACCCAGTCTAAAAGTTGAGCCGTTAATTGCGAATTAGCTAGTTAATTAGAGTTGGAATGGAATTTAATTTAACCAAGAGAATACAAATGAAAAAGGCTTGCTACTGTATTAGTTATAGCCATGGTCGAATTATCTTCTTATGAATAATGATTTAAATACTGAATTCGGTAAGTATCGACCAAATTCAGTTAGTTAGAGTTGTAAGTATAGACCAAATTCAGTTTATTAGAGTGAGGTGATGGACCTCATCATATAATGTCATCCAGAGATGAGACCCACCATCTTCGCACATAATTTGATTTCGGTAATGAATTCCATCCTAAATCACTACTCTTTTCTTATTAAAATACTCAAAGTAATTAGATTTTAAACTCTTTATCGTCTAAATATTAAAATTAAATTAAAATACTCATAGTAATTAGATCTTAAACTCTTTATCGTCTGAACATTAAAATTAAAGGAAAATGCTATAATTCACGAATTTTGATTTGTGAATAAGAACTCCCTTCTATTAAATTGTCAAATAATTAAAACGATAAGTTACAATCTTTTACCATGAATGAAGAATATTAATTTACATAATTCGCTTAGTTTTTTATAAATGTATTTTTGGTATTTTCTAGATTAAGGTTAAATTTGAAGGAGATTCCCTAATTGAAAAATATATAGATTCCAGAAGAGAATTTAAATATATACATACATCTATATACTTATATATATATACATATAATAATAATAAAATATTAGTAGAGAAAAGCAAATTAGAGGTAGAGAAAAACATAGTGTAATTCTTCATTCTTTCCTTGTATTGGCAATTCATTTAGTTTGCTAAAATATTAGGGGTGACGACTCATGTTCGCGGATCATAATCCCCGACCTGTTTATTAAACGAGTTATACATGTAATCTGTTTAATGACTTATTTACTAAAATAAAATATTATATTATTCAAATTATTAAGAATACTCAATCAAGCAATAAATACTAGAAAAATATATGTTTCAATCCAACAAAAGTTATCATATTACTAAATAATCTCTAGTCTAAAAAAGAATAAATTATAAGACACAAATTTAGTTAGTTATTTTGAAACTTGAATAGAAATTTGTTTATAACACGTATATTTAAACGAGTATAAATGAGTTACACAGGTTGAACCCCTCAACCCAAATACAAGACGATTAACTAAATAAGTTATCGTGGCGACCCGTTTAAGTTTAACACAAACTCGCTTAACTCGTATTCGAGTTGTATTGACGGATCGTGTCAAACTTTACTACCTTTATAAAATATGAAACACAAATGCATAAAATCAAATCTCGAATTTTAATTCGAGATGCTCAAAATTAAATCAAAATTAAAGTAAGCCCATAACAATCAGTCCAAATCAAAGCCCAAAGACACATACATAACTCATAAGCAAACCAGCTTTCAATAGTTCTAATTGGTCTTTACAATTGACTACTAAGATTATTTAGTTCTAATCTTTACTTAAATGGGGGTTGCCGAATTGATTGATTCTTGGCTGGTATTTATATCAGCATATAATATATATATATATATATATATATATAGAGAGAGAGAGAGAGAGAGAGAGAGAGAGAGAGAGACACCACACACACTGAGAATCAGACGGACACTCTGAATCTGAAAGGGAAGAGTGGAGAGAGAGAGAGAGAGAGAAAGTGCTAGAAAATGAAAGAATTCGAGACAATGGACCTGTTTGCGAAGCAATCTACACTCTAAACCGGAAGGTGGTGGTGAATGATTCAATGCCAAAGGGGGTTGTTAAAGTTCATATTATGTGATCTATGCTTTGGATTGATTGGTATTGTGATTTTATTTTTCTTTTTGATTGTTGCTCTATTACAGTATGTTAGGGTTTATGCTTGTTTGAATTTTTAGCTTTTCCGAGAGCCCTTTTATGTTTTCACGTTCTGCATTCAGAGAAATTTGGGTAAAGAACAGTTTAGGGGACACTACAGGTTTCAGGTGGCTTTGATGCATTGTTTATAAAAAATGGTAATTAGTGTTTAATAGATTACTAGTGATTTAATTTTATAACATCAATCTCGAGCTCGAGCTAACATGGAGTATTTTGCTGTTGTTGGTATACTATCAATATATCTGTTGCTTGATTCATCAAGCTCGAGCTAACATGGACTCTAATGTTTATTAGTTGGTATCCTGCAATATTAGTGAGAACGTGTGTGAGGAGAACGAATACTACAGATTCAAATGAATTGTTTCGTATGCTATTATCATGCATGTCTCAATGCCAATAAGCATGAACATCAAGAATAAGTATGTGCAGATTATAATGAAAATCCACAGAGACAAGCTGCTTAGGGAATTGGAACAAAATGCTATATTAAAGTACAACTGAATTAAGTATGCAATCTTCCAGTAACATGGATGTAATTTTTGTCCATTAAGAAGATCTCGCAAAGTCAGAGTTGTGAAATCATTTTGCTAAATAACAAAATCAAATAAATAGGAAACATATTTGAATTACGGTCATCAAATTCCAGAAAGAAAGAAAAAAAGTGTTCATAAAGAGCTAATTCGAAAAGGTGATGGTGTGAGAGCAGAAGAAGGAAATGCAAGTAAAAGAACAAGGGGTATTCTACAACTGATCTGTTCCACTCTAACCTTCATGTAATTTGGAAAGCTCCAATTTTTCTTGATATAGTTTCAACAACCGAGGAGCTTCCTCGTAACAGGTCACAAACTTGTGGAGGAACACTCTCTCTGTGGACTCCAACAATACCTGTAAGCTAATGGGTTTCTTAATCAAACCTTTGGATAACAAAACTTGAAGTACTGAACACCTGGGAATTATCCTCTTACTCAAGCTCAGTGTCATTAATTTTGGACGATGGGCAATTACGGAAGACTGCCAACCCATTGTGTTCACACAAAAATTCAGCACCGCCATTATCTTCTCCTCGGATGCAGTCATACAAAACGGATGTTTTGAAAAAGCCAAGATTGTTTCTTCCTGAGACCAACCCCACTTCTCATAAACCTCCATCTTCCTTTTCCATGTTGATTTGTTCATTTGGGTCAATGCCCGAACCGCCATAACAAATTGGGATTTTGAAGGGTTGAAACCCATTTTCTTAACATCCTCCACTACCTCCTTCAATCTATCAGCCTTTATAATGAGTGACCTAGGTTGAGTAGTAAGTAAGGCCATAATGATGGAATCTGGCACCCCAAGTTGTCTCAAAATTTCAATGTTGGGAAATATAATAGCATTGTGACATAAAACCTCCGGATATCGTTTGAAGGCGGCGATTAATTTATCATCTGAATGAAAGAAATTCTTCAGCAAATTGAAAGAGGGGATGATTTGGTTGTTCAAGCTATGAGTCAATATCGTTGGGTTAGTGGATAATGTCTTGACAAGGTCAGTGCTGGAAATGCCAGTAGAGTAAAAGAAGTCGAATTTGGGTAAAAGGGTTTTATTGGGATCAAATATGAGAACAATTGGGCGTTTCCTTATGAGCTCTGAGATCTGGGTGATACTGAATCCATGGTTCTTGAAGAAGTTGATAACTGAATCTGGTTTGTCTGGGGTTTTCAAATTGACTGTTTTGGAAGCAGAAATAGCTTTCTCTGGACTTAACCCACAAGAATTGACGAGGTAATTAAATGTAAAAGAGTGTTGATTTGTGGAAGTTGAGATGGATTTGAGCGATGAAGACAATGGATGTGTTTGAAGAACAAACGAGTTATGATGGATTGCTGAATGTAAAAGAGAAGAGCATCTAAAACGAACTACTAATAATAGTGATTTACTGTATATATAAATCATTGGTAAAGAAAGGTGATAGATAGACACTGTTAACAAGAACTCACCAGATCGTTAATCTCTTGAGCCAGCCAGAAGGGTAACCGCCGCCGAGAGAACTGGTAGGGTTTTAGTTTGCTGTAAGGACAGAATACGAGGGATTAGGTTAAGATGGATGCATTGGGATGGGCTTGAGTTTTGGAAAAGAAAGAAATTAATTGGATAGGTTTAATAAATAATGTCAAATGAATTAGGGAGTAATATTTAATGGATTAAAGCTTAAATATATATTTTGTATTCTTTAAAGTTTTTTCTAATGCTTTATTTTTATTTATTTTTTTTGGAAAAAAAGAAAGCCGTGCAAAAAGAAAATAAAAAAGAAAGGAACAAAATTCTTTGTCTGATATAGATTTTTTTTTTCCTAATTTTGTTCGACAGAGATATATAGGTAGGAAAAAAAAATAGACTATTATAAAAGTTTTAAACTAAATAATATCCTATATGATTTTACGAATTACAATTATATATATGTATTACAAGACATAATTGTAAAATAATTTAAAATTTAATCTTTCCTTCTCTTATAATAAATTTAAATCTATCATTTTCATGCAACGGAGCATAAATAAAATGATAAAAAAAGTCTCTAAACTTATTAATGCACCATCTTTTATTTTAAAATACCATAATTAACCTTTATAGTATAAATTATGCTCCCTTTATTTATTTATTTTTTACCTTATTTATTTTCTTTATTATTTTTTCTTTGGATTATTCAACAGATGTACCTTATTTTTTGGGTTCCTTTTTTCAGTTTTTTTTTCCTTGAATTATACTCTTTTTTTAAAATTTTTTATCCATCACAAGAGATAATTTATCCAATAGAAAGAATATATATATATATATATTGGTCTTGTCAAAAGAGAAAATTCATTCTATTGAGATAATTTTTTATTTTTGAGTCGTAAAAAAATGAATAATTTATTCAATAGAGAACTTTTTGGGGTTTCATTTTTGTAATAGGCATAAAGGGACTAGTAAACATTGTGTAGATGGGTACCAGGTGGCTTGGAGTCTGATCTCTCACATACCGACACCATTTGGAAGCCGTATCTCAATCAAGAGGTCACTGGCATTTTACAACTGGTTTAAAACCTGCAGAAGTATGAGCTATTCTCTGTGTAATGTTTAATTATGAGTTGTGAAACTGCAATATTGATGGGGAGGACGAGACTATTTATATGCTATATATCAGTATGGTATTTACGTTTTAGTTTGGGCTTTGAACTTGACTTTTTATTGTGAACTAATAGAATTGCTTCATCGATCCTCCTCCATTTGGCTTCCATATATAACCCAAGTTCATACCATATAGAAGAAGATGAAGTATTTCCAAATCTATCAAGTGTAATTTTAGAGGCCTCATGCTCAAAAAATTTCTTGAGGTCTGGTCTGTAGGCAATGATCGTACACGTAATCGTTTTATTTGGCTATGTATTGACTGAAATGGCTCCAAAAATGGAGCCAAATTCACTATGCTTTTTGCTGTAAAAGATATTCCACTATTACTTTCCATATAGGATTCGATGGTCTCTGTCATTTTTTCTATGTACGTGGTGAGACACGAATATTGCAGCACTGCACTATTCAATCAAAAGAGACAATTGCTTAAGAACATGGAGAGGAATGACTTAAGATCTCAGTGCTCACAATCAGGCCAGGGAGTTTTTCTTAATTAGCAGGTGTTTCGCTACATCATTTGATACAGTTCCAACACTACACCCCATCATAGCAGAAAGGTTAAATTCTTGATATTGGTCCTCATCCTCAACTTGTTAATTACCAGAAGCGCTAGAAGGGTTCCTTGTTACTGAAATATATATTTGTATCAAGCAATCTTAGGTGGTGCAGACTAAAGTGTCTCGATCAGCTTTCTTTGAACTGATTATTCTACTCATAGTCATAGCATGATTTTTGTTTTTGCCTTTCCTTGAGCTACTATTTTGGGACTGTCCATATATCCGCAGGTATAATAGATATAGCATCACATACAATTGTAAATTATGTCTGCTTTATGCCCCTTCTAAGTTGTATAGTGTCTGCTAGCTTTGTTAATACAACTAAATCTTACACTTTTTATATAAATAATAATAATAATAGAACAACAGAGATAGCGGATGATACAAATGTGTCAATCATATATACTGCAAATTCTAAAAAACTACTGTATAATTTTGAGATATAGTATCATTTTCAATATTCCCTTTCTTACAATTACAAGAGACAATTGAATACAGCTCCAATGAAGAGCACAGCCCCATATGTCTCTTCCCTTGTCATGAACAAGAAAGGATGGTCGGCCACAAAACTTGGTCTTGGAGGAGGATAATTCATTGCACATCCTATACCCCCAAAAGAGTGAAAGCTGCTGCCACAGTCCCTTCCGGGTTGACTTCCACACAAGATCTCTTCGCAACAAGGTTATAATAGTAGTTGTGAAATCATTCTGCTAAATGTGTGCTTGATTAAGCAAAAGAACAGGGGATATTCTACAACTGATCTGTTCCACTCTTCTCTTCATAATCATCATTAACGTGCGATTTGGAAAGGTCCAATTTTTCTTGATATAGTTTCAACAACTGAGGAGCTTCCTCATAACAAGTTACAAACTTCTGAAGGAACATACTCTCTCTGGACTCCAACAATGCATGTAAGCTAATGGGTTTCTTAATCAAACCTTTGGCCAACAAAACTTCAAGTACTGAACACCTGGGAATTATCCTCTTACCCAAACTCAGTTTCATTAATTTTGGACGATGGGCAATTAGGGAAGCCTGCCAACCCATTGTGTTCACATAAAAATTCAGCGTCGCCATTATCTTCTCCTCGGATACCCTCATACAACCCGGAAGTTTTGTAAAAGCCAACATTGTGTCTTCTTTGGACCAACCCCACTTCTCATAAACCTCCATCTTCCTTTTCCATGTTGATTTGCTTATTGACGACAATGCCCGAACCGCATCAACAAAAAGGAATTGTGAAGGGTTGAAACCCATTTTCTTAGCATCCTCCACTATCTCCTTCAATCTATCACCATTTATAACGAATGACCTAGGTTGAGTAGTAAGTGAGACCATAATGTTGGAATCTGGGACGCCATGTTGTCTCAAAATTTCAATGTTGGAAAATATAATAGCATTGCGACCTAAAATCTCAGGATATCGTTTGAAGGCGGCGATTAACTTATCATCTGAATGAAGAAAATTCTTCAACGAATTGAAACATGGGATGATTTGGTTCTTCAAGCTACATTCCAATATATTTGGGCTTTTGGATACTGTCTTGGCGAGCTCAGTGCTAGAAATGCCAGTGGAGTAAAAGAAGTCGAATTTGGGCAAAAGGATATTCTTGGGATCCGATGTGAGAAGTCTGGGGCGTTTTCTGATGAGAGCCGAGATCTGGGTATTGCTGAATCCATGGTTCCTGAAGAAGTTGAGAACTGAATCTGGTTTGTCTAGGGTTTTAAAATTGACTTTTTTGGAAGCTGACATAGCATTTTCTGGACTCAACCCACAAGAATTGATGAGGTAATTGACGGTAAAAGAGTGATGATTTGTGGAAGTGGAGATGGATTTGAGAGATGAAGACAGTGGATGTGTTTGAAGGACAAACAAGTTATGATGGATTGTTGAATGTAAAAGAGAAGAGCATCTAAAACGAAGTACTAGTGTTTTATAAATCATTGTCATTGAATGGCGATAGACAGTGTTACGAAGAACTCACCTGAATCCTGATGGTTAACTTAGCTGCTCTTGAACCACCATAACCAATCTCCTTCTCTAGGAGGGTCGTGATGATGATGATGATGATGATGATGAGTTCACTTTGGCCGGAGCAAAGCTTAAAAACAATAGTAATAGTTACGGAGTACTAGTTTTTTTTTTTTTTAATTTTGCGGTTGATACAGAGTTGTCATTTGCTTGCCGCCGAGAGAAGCGTCCTTCCTAGGGTTTGTTTTGTTTGAAAGGGGGAGAGAATATGAGGGATTAGGTTAAACTGGAATACTTGATGGGCTTGAGATGGTGATGTGCTTCATGTATTGGGTTTTTGAAAAGCAATAAATGAATTGGATTGAGCTGGGCTGGGCTGGGCTTAATAAATAAGGTAAAATGAATTAGTGGTGCATTTTTAAGAGCACCACTAATCACACACCCATGACCGTTACTTTTTTCAGTTCATCATTTTGTTAACATGTTATATTGAGTAGATAGAACTGAACTAAATTAGCAATCTTCCACTAACATGACTGTAATTTAGTTTATCTATGCTTCAAATTAAAGGTTAAGAAGATCTTGCATAGTCAGTTTGCACAAAATATATATATATATATATATACACATTATTCAGCTAAATGCATACATGGTTAATGAAAGACATATATAAGTGCTGCACAAAATCGCTTAAAAATGTTGTTTCAGAATCGAATAAGTACTTACCATAAAAAATATATCGATTTTATTCTTACCCAAAACGTTATCTTATTTCTGGGCTCTGGGTAAGTTCAGTCAACATGTTTAGGGCATTAATTGAAAATGGTAAATGTTGATGAAAAATTTTTGCGCGACGACGGTGTTTATCTGCACAATAATGGAGATTATCTCACATCGAATGACACTGATGGAGTGCCGACCGAGAACCCTCCGACTATCAAGTCAATGCTTGGAATCGTATAACAGAAAAGTCATTCTCATACCTCTTTAATTGTCACACGATGTATTTATTATCGTCCTCGAGACAAGGTTGGTTACACAGATGTCGATTAGGAATATTTGAATGAGATGGATCGTGATCTTCATCCACCAACTGAATGATAGAGTCATAGTCATATTTACTTCCTGCTTTTTAGGATTTGAAAAACAGAATCTGCAATTATTTTGGTTAGTCAATTTCAAATTATTTTATTCTCATCAAATACCCCTATTTCCTTATTCCCAACGGACTAGGAAATATCAAAGTGCTTTTTTATTTTTTTATTTTATTTTTTAACCTGGTTTACTATTCCGAGGTCAAAAGTACCTCAGATACTGTTCCCAAGGTATAATTTTTATTTTTTTTTTTAATCTCGGGTTACTATTCCCTATGGCTGGCAAACATTATGAAAGGGAGTGAGTTCAATCCCATCTTGTACAAATTTTTGTTGAGACGTGACAGATTTCTGGAATCCAAATATATATATATATATATAAACCTCAAGTGCTATTCTTGACTCGTGGCATAAGACATGGACGTAAGTTCAAATTCCATAATTTGTAGGTAGTAACGTGATCGCTCGATTCTCTTCGGAATTTAATATTTTTTTCACTTTGGTACGTTTTCCGAGGTGAAACTGTTCACCTCGGTCACATTTCCTGAGATGAATATTTTTGTACAAAATGGTCTAAATGTACCATATAGTATACTAGTACTATTTAAATATTATGTAAAATATAATATATATATTTATATAATTATTATTATAAAACAATAATAATATATTATATAAATTTCTAATAAAATATAGTTATATATGTAATAAAATAAAATTATATAAAAGAACATGTTAATTGATAAAGTCTAGAATTGGATAATATCTTCGTAAGACAGATTCACTCCGCTACGGTACTGAGGACTCAATGGCCTCTATATCTTAGGATACAGCGACATTTCTTTATTTTGTAACAGCACTGCAAATGGGAAAAATAGGCGAACTGGCTCTCGGTGTAGTACTCCTCTCTGAATTAGACTCAAATTGACACACTAACACTGCGCGCGCGACAAAAGAGAGAAAGGAAGAATTCAAAAATCTGTAAAATAATTCTGAAATGGTGTATTTTTCCAAATGATCCAGGGGGTATTTATAGGATACTAGATGCCTTTTCGCAATGGACAATTGACTACTAAAGATTAATCAGTTCTAATTCTACTTAAACAGGGGATGCCGTATTGATTGATTCTTGGCTGGTTTTTATATCAGCATATATATATAGAGAGAGACACACACTGAGAGTCAGAGGGACACCCTGAATCTGAAAGGGAAGAGTGGAGAGAGAGAGAGAGAGAGAATGGAAGAAGTCGAGAAGATGAACCTGCTTGCGAGGGCAATCTACACTCTAAACCGGAAGGTGGTGGTGAATGATTCAATGCCAAAGGGGGTTGTTGAAGTTCATATAAATCCTGAGGATGCAGAAGCTTTGAAGAAGATGAAGAAGAAGAATATCACAGACGCGATGCTACTTCATTCCTCATGTCTGGCGACTTTCAAACTCCACACCCTTTTCTTAGGAAAGGAAGCCACCGATCGAGTGATTCTCAGTGCCGAAGACAGCAGCTAGTGGTTCTTGGAATCGTAGGTTCCAGTTTTTCCATCTATCTATCTATCTATCTCTCTATATTAAGGTTTTATGTTCTTCGGTAGCAGAGAAGGAACATGTATGTTTAGTTGGTTTAAAAACTGAAGTCTATGTTAGGGGTTTATAATGGTGGAACTTATTAACGCTCTTGTTCATTCAGTTATATTGCATCATCTATTATGTGATCTATGTTTTTGATTGATTGGTACTGTGATTTTAATTTTCTTTTTGATTGTTGCTCTATTACAGTAGTTTATGCTTGTTTGAATTTTTAGCTTTTCCAAGAGCCCTTTTCTGTTTTGGAGTGAGTGAAAGTACAGTACGTTCTGCGTTCAGAGAAATTTGGGTGAAGAAAGGTTTATGGTGGTGGTAGCATGATAGTTGTTTGATAAAATGCCCACGAGGGGGACACTACAGGGTTTCAGGTGGCTTTGATGCATTGTTTATAAAAAATGGTAATCAGTGTTTAATAGCAGTGATTTAATATATGCATTGTTTCCAACAATGACTGACTGTAATGTTTATGAGTTGCTATCCTGCAATATTGATGAGAATGTGTGTGAGGAGAACGAATGCTACAGATTCATGACTTTTGCAACCTGAAATTTTTTATGACCATCCCTCAATTAAGCTCTAAGTTTACATTAGTTACTAAATATAGTAGTGGCAAACTGTCAGTATATATACAAATGATATATATGTAACGAACATAAACTCCGGAGTTGGTTCAAGTGTTTGTTATATCTTTATGTATATGGGAATTTTGTATTTGTTTGCTTGCTAGGATTTTAGTTTTATTGATCAGGAATCTAAGATGAATATCAGCTCGGATTTCAAATTAATATCAGAAGCATAAAGGCAGTAAAAATAGTGTAATAGTTGTTAGGTAGAAGGTGGGCTTGGAGTCCGGTATGTAAGGAGAAGATGGAGGGAAAAAGTAAAAAGCATGAAGACAGTAGAAATAGTGTGATAGTAGTTAGGTAGTAGGTGGGCTTGGAGTGTGATCTTACATACCGGTGTTGTGCATTTTTGGTTGCAATCACTCTTGCACTTGTAAATACCAACTGAGGACTCATTACTTTGGGACTATAATTTAAACTTCTTGTTCGTAATATAGTGCTTAAATGAGAGAAATCATGGCTCTATAGTCTATGCACTCCACAAAAACCAGCATTAATGTTGCCACCACCACCACCCTCCTCAAACTTATGATCTTCATCTTCCCCATGTCCCTCTCCCCCTGCATCCTCGTTGCCATTAGATGGTCAATGGTGCTACAACTAGAAGAAAATGCAATATTTCTAGTCATTAATTGTCTCACTTTTATGATCGCATCTACATGTAAACCACTCTGAAATCAAACTGAGTTCATCATGCAAATATATCCAGAGGCCCGTTAACATTAACGTTAACGTTAACATTAACATGAACATGAACATCAAAAATAGTTTCCACAGATTATTATGAAATCCCACAGTAGCTGCTTTGCAATTGCAACATGTTATTGAACTGACCTAACCTAAATTAGCCATCTTCCAGTAACATGACTGTAAAAATCATTTTTTCTATCGTGATGATTTGTTCACTTCGGCTGAAGCAAAGCTTAAAAACGGCAGAAGCAAAGCATATACCACTGTTATTACTTTTTATTTTGAGTTTGAGTTGTCTATCATATATATGCGAAGCATCCTTCCTAGGGTTTGTTTGAAAGGAGATACACAATATGAGGGACTAGGTTAGATGGGATACATAGGATGGGACCATGGGCTTGAGTTGGTGATGTTCTTCATTTTTTGGGTTTTTGAAAAGGAAGAAATAAATTTTATGAAAAAGGTAAAATGAATTAATATTTAATGGACTAAAGCTTGAATATGTATCACATTTTTAAATAGTTTTATAAAGAGCTTAAATAAGGTTGCCGAACATGTTTATTCTGGCTATTTCAGGTTGTTTTTATTTTATTTTTTATTTTTTTATTTTTTTTTAATTTTTTGGGAAACAAGAAATAAAAAATAGGAACATCACCACCCCTTATTTTATCTATGCTTCAAATTAAAGATTAAGATGATCTAGCATAGTCAGTTTTGCACCAAAAACAGAAAAATAAATATATATATATACACACACACATTATTCAGCTAAACACATAAATGATTCAAGTACTTAATAAAATAAAAATAAAAATAAAAAAGATAAAATTGTTCATAATGACAAAATTCGAAAAGGTGGTATCGGGTGGAAATGAGAGCAAATAAAAGAGGAGGAATGTGTAAGCGACCTCAATTGAGTAGATATTATACAACTGATATGTTCCATTCTTACCTTTACAATCATCATTACCGTGTGATTTGGAAAGGTCCAATTTTTCTTGATATAGTTTCAACAACTGAGGAGCTTCCTCATAACAGGTCACAAACTTCTGAAAGAACATACTCTCTATGGACTCCAAAAATGCATGTAAGCTAATGGGTTTCTTAATTAAACCTTTCCACAACAAAACTTCAAGTATTGAACGCCTGGGAATTATCCTCTTACCCAAGCTCAGTGACATTAACAGTGGACGATGGGCAATTACGGAAGACTGCCAACCAAGGTTGTTAAAATCGGAATTCTACACAGAATCGTTTTGGTCTCCGTAGAATCGGAATCGTAGAATCGGATCGTGAATTGTAAGATTTTATCAAATTGTGAAAAAA